AGGTCCACTAAGTTCCCTAAATAGTCGAAAAGGATCACGCTTGTTAAGTAATGATCTCAGCGTAGGCGGCAGCTATTCGAGATGCGAGACTTAAGGGGTAAGAATTTGTCCACGGCCTAGATAAGTAAACCAATTAAAGCGATCATTTCGTTTCAGAAAAATCCAACCTTCCATCTCGCGAACGATCAGATTTTCGGAGGACTCTCGATCTTCTTCATAACCTCAAAACTTGGCGCAGCAGTCTCGATATCGGAACGTTCGTAATCGCATGGAAATAAATTCAACGGCATGGAAATTTTGTTTCTCAGGAAGTGGCAGCAGTGTGAATCACTCTTGCGAGGGAATACCGGTGACGAATTAATTTATTTAACGGTTATGACAGTTAGCACGCGCGCACGCTAATTTTCGTTATTTTCAATTGCACGCGATCGATACCGTGTCTAACGCAAACATAATTCAAACGAACTGCATTCAGGTCAACGAATGAATATAACACGTTAAAACTTTTAGTCGTGTTGCAACGTATAGCAACAAAGAAGATACTTAAACCCTATTACCGGCTGCATGTGTTGGTATGACGAAACTAGATCCTTTGGTAGGGGCTATGTAAATTGAGCTATCAAGAAATACAAGATGTAACTATTATAAATAGTGTTTGGAAATTGTGGTTACGTCAAAATTGTTGTGTGATTGATAAATTGTAGTTGTGTTGAATTACTTTCATTAGATTGATTCAGAGTGCTCATACTAATACCCCATATCAGTTTGTAAGAGTGGAAGAGTCATAGTGTGACATAAAAGATATAGTAACAGTCAATGAGATAATGTTTTTGCTCTATTTATGTAGTTTGTGCAATTTTTATACTGTGCAGTATAATTTAATATATTTATTAAAAAATTTATTTGGTTTGAAAACCACTATTTATTTATTTCTACAATTTTTGTTGATTTGGTTAGTATATTTCATGGATAAAATGTTTCTTACTTTTAAGATTATACTAGATTAAAATTAACTTCTTTTATTAACTAAAAAAAATATGTTAACTACATAGTACTGTCAGAAAATATATTATTTTATTTAATGTCAATCAGTGTGTAATTTCTTACTTCATACTACATTTCCAGATAAATGGTCAGTAAATAATATGCTTGCACTAATAATGCTTGTTGGAAAGTGTCCAAAACCTGCATTTGAAGCTTTGTTACTAAATAATGCTGCAAAATAGGACACTTATTTGTGCAAGATAAAGTGTATCTTCAATCATCCTCAACCATGAATTGTTTAAATAAATTTTTATACGTATCTAACCTTCCATTTTCTTTTATCGTTATCATCTAAAATATTTGATAGAATCAGTTTAATTTATATATAAAATAAATTTCTACTTTCACTCCCTATTCCTATCTCTTTAACTATATAAACCTGTATTTTCAAATAAACAATCGTTTGTTAAAAACAATTCTACGTACACGTGTAAAATCGACGTGTTGATTCCACTTTAGGAAACAATAAAATGTTATTCTCTACCAAAAATGTCGCAGTACATACGTCGAACCTCATATATCACACTGTACCAAGAACCCTAGTGATCCCTAGAATATAGGAACGTAACTTTATTACTGTTCCTAGAAGTCTCAGAGAAAATGGCACATAATACCCCGCACGTGTATCGTGTATTTCGTGATCCTACATCGACCTGTATCTATAAAGTGTTGCTAATATTTCTTCTTTTATTTTTTAATACTTTTATCTCTATTCCAATATTTCTTTAAACCGACACGACGAAGGTTACACATAAGGAATTTACCCGAATCGATACTAGACTTTTTCCTTGCTGTATGGTTTTGTCTGTCTATCGTTATTAATCGTAAAGATAACTTCTATACCAACTATCAATATCGTATTCTCAAGTTCCGTGGATTCTATGGCGGTAGTGTTCTAGCTCATCGTCCAGGACAACTTTAATCCCCTATTTTCTGGCAGACATTTCTCGCGTGCGTTTGGCATATTTACGACTTTTGTTACGGACAAAACGGAAAGACGGATTGGGGGTAACGACTGATAACAATGGCGGAGCAGCGTATGTACGGGTGTTGTTGTTTTATCTTATAACAGCATCTTCGTGTCACCTGCAGTGTCGATGTGCAATTGTCACGTGGGCGTAGTTATCGGGAACGCATCAACGCTTCCTGAGTGCTAACCTATTTACTAGCGTCATGAGTTCTACGTCAGTGAGATTTCTTTCTGATAGAGCTGAAATTGTTTGTAAAAATTGCAACGTCCATACCTTGTCTGAGAAAGAGTAATCGCAGAGCAAATATACCTTGCTTTCGTGCTTTGAAAATCTGACAGTCAGACTTGACTTTAGGAATAATGTATCTGCAGAGCTATAGTATCAATGTCTAGGGAATTTCCACCATATTTCTATGTCTTTACTCATCGGCTAGTGAATTTGTAATATTTAAGAAGCAGTTTGTATATGCGATTGTAGATAATATAAGAAAATCAAAAGAAGAAAATTGAAGAGAATATTAGAAATATACAGAGATTGAGTATTTAAAATATGTAAATACAGTATTTCCTATTCAATTATATTAAAGTGATGTTTATGTAAAAATTGATGCATATTAACATTCCACGTGCACGAGTTTTATGTAGTGAAATACAGAATGGGAGAATGTAATTTATCACTTGATATTTCATTGGACGTACAGCGATTACTCGATGACAGGTATGAAAAACCGACATTTCTAAAGATACTAGATTCGTTACTAGAAATTAAATTTATATATACATTACATTAAAGGCGTCCTTCTAGTTATTGTTTACTATTAACAATTTAATTTGGTCACTTCTAGTTACTTTACTTTTCCTAGTTACTTCTAACCTATATCAACCTGTATATGGCTAACGTGCCTGGGAGGCATGACAGCACTAATACTATCTTTCCATTTACCAATGATACGATCAATAGTATTTGTACCAATTGGGAATAAATTTATTATCGATTCGGAACACGATTATTTTCGTGGATTTATATAAGATGTCGAATTCTAATATCGAAAGTCTGTTCGATTCGAATGAAGCTATAAGCATTACTTACGCGTTCTCATATCGAAGAAAGTAGCGTTTCACAGTGGTTCTTTCAGTTAGCGATTTAGGACGTCTATTCGTGACGATAATGTAAAATATTCTCGGATTTCGAAAGTCACGTTAGAAAACCGAGATTAAAAGCGATTTAAGTGCCAACAGAATGGGTGGTACAGTCGATATAATCAATTGACGATCGACGCCACGAATTCTGTGTTTAAACATAGGCATAAAACTTCAAAGGTTCTTTCACGATATCGTATCGCGTCTATCGAGCGAAATTTCAACAGGAATGAGTCAGAAGCGCACCTATGTTTCCCGTGTTATCCCAAAGAGCATGTAAATATCATTTTCGAATTTCCTCCAATTTTTCTAATGCTGTAAAATAACACCAGCGAGAAGACCACAAAGGAAAAACATGAGATCACCTTTGCTGATTTTTTGATTTTTCTGTTATCGAAAAGCTAAAAGCAGATATACAAGACAGAATTATTAGTTGGAAAAATTGAAGGTACTTAAAGAAATTTACTGACAATTTAATAGATATCAAAAAATAATGAACGATTATTCGAAAAGCTAATGATACAGGAAAAAATTGACAAGTTTATGAAGTTAGATAAATGTCCAAGAGAATGATTAATAATAATTAATCACAAAATAAAATAAATCCACCTTTGATTTGATACAATGCTGGTGAATAAAATATTGAAAAATATTAAAAAATTGGAATAATATTTGAATATTTAAAAAAAAAAAAAATAAACGTGACTCATCGTGTTTTCCTCTTGTGGTCTTCAAGTATCTCTTAGGTACATTTCAGTCGTTCAATACACTATTGTATTACTCATTATCCTATTGCTCCCCTGTCTCATGCAGCACTGCTAAACAATAAATAAAGCAAATGAAAATACCGATGCCAATATATAAAAGAATTTTATTTACTTTATCGATAATTCGAAGACGAAAATAAATAAATAATTTTGATACGCAGTAAAAGGAAACGTGACGTTGGAAGTCTTCGGATTACAGGGCCGTCACAACGAACGTGGATGGAGAGTGCACTTTTAACTGTGTAACTAGGTATTGTGCAAGTATTCTATACGTCTATGGATGTTTGCCTCCAATTACTATTGCGGGTGATTGCACTAATAATTTGAATCGGCGCACTGAAACCATTTAAAAACAAATTATCGAGTTGCTCCAGCTACGAATTGCATAAGCAGTGCTATTCATCGATGCCATAGCTGAACACGTAGTCAATGATTACAATATCCTTGGCAAAAAATATTTTTCATTTTCCAAAATTCACCGACTACATAAAATATCTCGACACAACGATCGAAGAATTCGTTCGACAACTTTTTATTTCACGTTGCGCGACATTTTTCAAAGAAAATCATTGAACCGTTCGTTACCACGCAGGAAGACACTAGAATCTCTATTACGTTTCATTTTATCGGGCTGAGAGAGAAATGTCACGTCACACTTACGGAATTTCACGATAAAGCACGTATATCACGGAAAAACGAATTTCTTCTCGTTTCGATATTTCGACTCGACCGTAAGAGGCAAAAGATGACGTAAAAACCAGTCGAAGATCCTTTACCGACTTTATCTACCGCGAATACGGGTCACAGAATCTAGACTTTTCCGTGGAACGACACCGAACCGAAGTGGGCAGAATTGAAATCACGTCGCACGCAATACGATCCGTGCTGTTCGTAATTAAACGATTTCGATTGGTCGCGTGAAATATTACGAGGGGACCAATACACGAGACGATACTTCGAAACGGCTTCGATTTATTTCCATGACATCGACGTCGCAAAATACGGTCCAGGATCCTTGCAATCGAGGACTGGTTAACCTAACAAGGATACAATCGTGCTCGAATAATAATTTCTCTTACCTGATTTGAGAATCTAGGCTGAGCCTCGGTGGTAATTTGCGAACCACGATCTCTCTCGGTTGTTCGTCGATCAGTGTCTCACGAGAAACTAGCCCGTTTAAAGACCTGGAAGTCCTTCCCCGCTAAGGTACGTCCGTCCGTCGTCCCACGTCCGTCCGTTTGTCCTGGCGTGCTTGTTCCTGCGCCTCAACGCCGAACCACCCGACGAGACAACTTAGCCCAACCTAACCCTCACTCGATAACCCACCCATACACACGCGACTCCGTCGAGCCTTTACGAAACAATCTATCGATAAATTATGTAGCACCAGTCCTCCTTTTTTCCGCACGCAACGGCTACCAAACTTTTCCTTCTACTCGCTTTCTGCCAGCACATCCATAGGAATGGATTGGCAGCGCCCGCGTTTCCGTCTCGACTTTCGTCGGGTATCGTTCCACGAGTATCAACGTAAAATTCGCGAGGATGTTGCGACGGTATCTGATGGTAACTCGCGGCAGGGGCGTGCGGTGGAAAAAATGCCATCTCGCGACGGTTACGTAATCTTGAATTTGATGGGAGTGTACGGCTGGTGAAACGTGGGTGAGTTCAGGCGTTGAAATTTTAAATGTCGATTCTCCGGTAAGAACGTTATTTCTTTTACAGTGTATTACGCTTATTTATGCCCTTTTCCGCTATTTAATTTCATTTCGCGAATAACTACGGTATTCTGGTAATATAGGGAATTTGTAATTTCCAAGGTATAAAATTTACCATGATTGGATAAAATATTCTCACTTGTAAATATGATATTATAAAAATATCGACAGAAATAATTAATATACCTGTGTCCAAATAATTAGGTTAAGATAATATTTTGAAGTATTGATTTTACTTAGTAGAATGAATAATTGTGGTAAAAATGATTAGAAATGTTATTTAAAATTTGTACAAATTCGTGAAAAATATTATTCTGCTATCGATGTATGTTACGAAGATATGTTACTAATTTGTTAGTATATTAATACACTTTTCTATCTTCAGTTTAGTTTTATTTTTCACAAGTCTTCGAATCTTAGATAATATTTCAACGATGAACTTATAAAGGAAATGAAAGGTGGTTAAACATGCCTGTCGCTTTCATCTTAATTACCATGACTTTTCTCGTTCGTTATGAGCAAATACATATTTATCTTGTAAGCACGAAGGGGTCGAATAGCCGGTAGCGCGAATAAAGTGTGGCGCACCCTTTTCTGGCCAGCCACTTTAATTTCGCTGTTATTACCGTTGATGCGGCATCCTAGTTAGTTTCATACATTTCAAACTTCCTAGTAATTTCCAATAACATGCAAAATTTGTCAATCGCTTTCGATACTGCGAGGATGCTTTACATGTACTATTACATATACACTGTAAATATTTTTGTGCACAATCCTGAGAAATGTAACTTGCAACAACCCATCTCTGGTTAAACATTACTTTTAATCCTTGTATTCTAATTCTTTACATAGTGTCTATGTTATAACAGTTATTATAATATAGTATATAATTATTATAAAGTATATTAATTATATAATCAATGCACTGTGTAATTTAAATATTATAATAAACGTTATAACTATGTCTGTATGTATAGTTCTATACAAGTAAATATATTTATACAATAATATTTGTATATCCTTTTACTAGTCTGATTTGTCAATAATGCAGAATTCGATTATGACGCTGTTGAATTTCTTTCGCAAGTTGCATAAAAATATTCTTTCGATTTGCAAATGCAAAATATCGTTAAAAATGTAGGACACATTGGAGAATTTTTTATAACGCAAAATGTCAAGCAATAAAATTTTTATCTGTGCAGCCATAGCTTGACGTTGGTAACTTAATAAAAAGTTATCTAGTCGCTGATAGATATCGCTAGTGTCACGAGAATAGCTACCAACATTCCGACTATCGCAACATCTTTATCGATTAATTACTTCGTTGCTAAGTCCATCATCGGTGCTCTCGAGTTATTTCGCGCCTCATCGTCGGTTACATATCATTAGCAGCATGCAGATCCAGCCAAAACTTCCTCTTCAATGAAACAGTTGTTCCATTCATTTCAGCGTGTATCCCCTAGTACCACATACCGAGTAACGATATTATCGACAAATAGTAAACTAATGTGTGCAGTCGCGTCCCGCAGGCGCCACGTTCCCTCGCAGAAATATGGCAGATACAGGATCAATGGGTATAATATTTTAAGACGTTACATACGCGACTATATAGTCTCTTCGTAGAAACTCTCTGAGATTCTTTGTTACCAGGTGTTTCTAGTTATTGGAGATTTTGCTTCACTGTTTGCTCCAATGTAATGATCATCAATTGAACAATCAGTGTCTCGTTTCTCTTACCTGAAATAAAATCAAAGTTTGTTGTTATTACACGTAAACCTTACAGTATTTATAATTATATTTATAATTAATCCGTTAATTAGACAGAAGAAAGGATTGGGTTGAAATTTCTCAGCTGATATTATTGTAAATACTAGTAACTTTTATTGATTCCATCTATTTGTATTTTATTTCTTCATTTTGTTTCTGTGTATAGTAATTTATATTATCATCAGGTTGTTTTGAAGTACAACAAATTTGTTGCTACGAAAATTGGTAATTGTGGATTTTTAAAAATTCTTTGGAATATTGTAGTTTTGATAATTATTCTAAACTTGTGATTATACGATATATTTATACGGTTATGGGAAATCAATACTCGAAGTAGAAAAGACAGTGTATTCAGCGCAAGATCAACCACGAACAAATACCTTATTCACGTGATTATATGCGCGTGTATGTGTGTACACGTGCGAAGCCCGTGGCATGTTAGAATTTCTTTTCAACACAATTTTCGCCTTGAATTCCTCTTGGTAATAAAAAGTTTTACTATCTCCAAAACTACTGTTGATATATTTTCTGCTTCCTTGGAAACTATTTTACTTTCAATGTCGCAGGATATTGGTATGTAGTTGCCAAAACAGATTTGCATGATTTATAAAACTGCATTTTATGTGCAAATAATTTTCTGCGATTTTTAAATATATTTTTGATACAATTTTTTAATTATACATTACTATAAGAGCAATGTAACTATTATTTTCTATGTGTTTGGATAAATGATAAATATTTAATCGTAGAATATTGATTAATAAGTTCATTCAAATTTATTAGAATTTTTGTTTATTTTATTATTTTGAAAAATTATATGTTTTTGTGAATATCGTTTAGAATAATTAAATATAAGAATTATATTGGTTTTAGTGAAAGGAGTAAAATGAATTGAAAGAAAAATTTATTTTTTCAAAAATATTGTCGTATACCATCAGTTGTTACCTGCACGAACAAAATCGCGAACAACCTCGTGTATGACAAAATCAATAATAGTCTTTCCAACCATCTTCCGGTAAGAATGCTTGCTTTCGAAAGCTATGATAACTTTTTTGATTATTCAAAATCACACGTACCGACGGGGGTAAATCAGAAATGAAATACCGATTGCAGATTCATTTTTTCCAAATTCCAAAAATTTGCATATCAAGTTTTCACGATTTTTCCATAATATTTTATACTCCCATTCGATCTCTTTTGAAACAATATAATTTATCGTGTTTTAATTACAAAATCAGTCTCCTATTCAACAATTTCCCTAATTTACTTTTACTAATATTTTATATGGGACACCATAGAATTGTACGAAGTTATAAACATTATACTATATATAATATATATTATATTCCATTTGAACACACATGTACATACATAGAATTTATTCTAACAATAATTAATTATTTTAATTATTATTTATAATAATAAATTGTTAATAATTTAATATATTACATTAACTTCACTAATAAATTTCAAATAATGATTTTATTAAATAGATTGTAATTTTGACCGAGAAGTAGAACGCGTAATTGAATTTTGAAACGAAGAAGGAAATGAAGAATCATCGAGTTTGATTTACAGCTGAATAACAACGTGGAAAAAATTTTTTTTGAGGTGTACTGCCCCTGGATGTGCGTCTAGTCGAAGATTACTAATCCACAACGATGGAAGCCTTGCAAGGGCCCCCTTGGAATCGAGCCACGAACAGGAGTTCTCTCTTATCGTTAAGAATCGATAGTTTAGCTCATCCTTTCACACTCGTGTATGCCTTATTGATATTCATTACATCGTAAGACAAGACACCTATGGTAAATGCAATATCCTTTAAGTCTAGGCCCCCTTCAATGGGGTGTCAAAGCAGAGATTCAAATATATATCAAAACCTGATCGATAGTCGAATTTCTCTATTCTCGAATTTTTCTTTTCGTCTCCTAATATAGAATAGTGGAAATTTATAATTTTTATGAAATTTAGAATTATATCGCGAGAATATCTCCTTCGTCGACAGTAAAAATGGAGGACTGAATTATTAACTAGAAATTATTGTAGAGGGTGCATATTAATTATCATACTCAACTTAAATTAATATTCAATGTATTTGAAGTACCAAGTATGACTCCTATTAATACCTAAATATTCGAGGTATGATATATGATAGAATTAGGTAGAATTAGCATAATATATATTTAAGGTGAAAAATTAAAATTAAGGATGAATTAGAAAATTTAGGTGGAACGTAGTAGAATTCAAATTTATTATATTTATTGTACTGCTTTGTAATGAGAAGATTATAAAAAAGAAATAGAAAATATTTCCTCTATTAGATATTTTTTTTTTTAGGTAAAAAACATTTATATTTGAAAACTTCTTAGTTCCTAATTCAGCAATTATCAACCTCTTTTCTGACATACCACTCGACCAATATGTGATCAAGTCACGTATCACTTTGTAGTGTGCACGTATCACTATAGTGTACTCCACTGCACTCCACTGTAGTGCACAATTTAAAAATTTTATATAATTTTATTCAACGCACGTATCACCTAGGAATGTTCAATTTACCGTCACTGGTAAACGTACCACAGGTTGAGAACCACTGTTCTAATTGATTTATGACATAATTCAAAATTTACTTCTATCAGACCTACTACTCGAAAACCCGATTATTTGAATCTGCCTCCAATTAATTCTTATAATCCACAGTTTTAGTATAGTTTGTGACAAGTATAAAGCCAAATTTTTCTCTAGGGATATAGTAACTTTGAAGAAAAAATATTGTTTAATTTAGGAAATAATAAAACAATATAATATAAACGACGTGGTATTAAGATTTACAGACAATTTAAAAATTCTACATAATGTAATTCAACTCTCGTATCACTTGAGAATGTTAAATTTACCATCAGTGGTATACGTATCACAGGTTGAGAACCACTGTTCTAATTAATTTATAACACGATCCAAAATCTACTCCTATCAGACCTGTTACCCTAATTACCGATTATTTGAATTTGCCTCCAATTAATTCTTCTATAATCGACCTTTTAGTATAGTTTGTGACAAGTATAAACCCAAATCACTCCCTAGGGATATAGTAACTTTGAAGAAAATATAGTTTTTAATTTAAAAAATAATCAAACGATATAATAAGACGATATAATAAATGAATATAAATAAATATAAATATAAAAATTTGATATAAAAGTGACATAATGAATCGACGAATAATAATTGCTGAAACATAGGGGTAGCCATTTTGTTTATCGAGATACTCCCGGGCGCTCTACCACGTGACACTAGTGTAACCGTCCAAGTTGTAACTGCCATGTTAATTTGCGCGTAGGCGTTGGTCTTTATCGTTTGTTGACGTATCGAAAGCATGAACAAATATGCGAATGCACGAATAAATGGGCACGAGTCGTGACATTTACGTAACCTTAGGGCTTTACGATTTGTCCCGGATGAACGCCTTCCCAAAATACAACCCGTTGGTTCATCAAAGGAGACAATGTGTCATTAGATCGTAACTAAGTACAGGAATGAAAGTATGTACAAATGTACATATGTATACACACATGTCGAACGGAAGTGGACGTAGGAAGATGCTGATATCATGCGAGGTGATACATCGGAATGGATCGATCAAGGTCGACTCAAACATCAATTAAATATCACGATTTACATAAGTCTCTTATACACCAAGTTATCGAGATGTAGAAATGAGAGTGAACACAAGGACGGAAAAAATTTTCCCTAACTATAGTTTCGATTTTGCAATCCTTCATTTTTTATTTTCTTCATTAAAAATATCAAGGTCCAAGTAATCATTAAAAAATTTTTACTCAAAATTCTGTATTGAACGTTGTTTTCATTGCTCGATTCCACGGTTTCCCGTGTAATTTGCATAATCAACTTTTTCAATCTCTTATCCCGCTTCTTCCGAGATTCTTCGTCTGCCTCGTCATCTACTGCGACCTAATTTAATGCTAATGTCAATTTCAGTCGCGTGCTGAGAAACGGTCTTTAGGTATATACTGTAAACACTATTTAAATTGATTATTAATAATTTTAATTAAATTATTATCTACGTAACCTGACTAACAATCGTGCGAAATATATTAGAAAAATTTTATTCGAGTCCTGTTAACAAACTATAGTAACCGCCATTTTTTAACCAAAATGTTGTAAATTTGTCGAAATACAAAAGGAAAAAGAAAATAAAGTAACATCAATTAGTCATCGTATTAGTTTTAGTATTAGTTTTAGTAATTAGTTTTCTACTACCCTCTACCGGCGTACAGTCAAAGGCAAAAATGTAAGACGACGAATATTTAGGGAAAGGAACTCCTGTCTCGTCGTTCACTTTCGCTATCTAATGTCAACAAACCCAGACACTGCGGCGATACCCGTCACAAGACGCGAACGCAATCACGCGCAAGTTGCATGACCACCCTTCGAAACTTCGTCGTTGATTTACCCGAAAACGGAAGGTCTTGTGGAAAAATTTTGCTCCACATTTTCGACTCACTTTTTCGCGTAGATTCGCATAGTATCGAGTTCCGCGTTTCATTCACGTTCAGACGCCGTTAATCGTTCGTACACCTACGTGCAAACGTACGACGCCTGTGAGAATTAGCGAGAGAAAAAGGTAAAGGTGACACGCAGCTATTCTTAGATCGTGGTCTGTAGACCGATAGTTGTTTAAAGTGGTTGGATTTGACGATCTTACGTGCAAACACGCCCACGCAGCACGCGGATGCGCGCGACGCTACGTGTCCTCTCTTTCTGTCTTTCCATCTTACCCCCACTACGGCGTGACAGTTATCTACATTTAGATACCTCGCGTCGGTCGATTCACGACACTTAAAAGTTATCTTTGCTAATTACGTAGGTAACCTAAATTCCAACGATGTAATGTCTTTTGAATTGTATCTTGGACTTAAATGTCGGCCCAATAAAGCGTCACGCGTTATGTACAGTAACGTTCATAAGTATTCGAACGCCGGCGTGGGTTTCGAGTGACGGGTCCCGATGTTACCGAGAGGTTATGTTCGCTGACTAAACGTAATACAACCTTCTATTATTTCTATCCTTTGTGGTCTTGTTGTATCGTCATTGATCCTTGTAATCATTTTTTGTAATAGTATCGTGTTACATTTTATTTTTTTATTGATTTTTAATTAGTTTTCTTCGTTTAATTATTTTCTTGCGATATTACTGTATTATTAGTGAATCTTTTTTAATGGGACTAGGAATTAATGATATACGAATGTTAATTATTTAGTAAACAATTTGTGTACCGTCGGTAGTAAAAGTTAATTATATTGGACTTCCTTTTATTAGATTTGGAGGACCTTTTGTAATTAATTATGGTGTTTTTTAAATCATAATACAATTCTATGAGGTTTGATAGCCACAAGTGCCTAGTTTCAGCTTTCGCATTGGATTTTAAAAGTTAATTGCGTGTCAGCTATGATTTCTAATTAAGCAACGCCCTGTCGGAGGTAATATTTTCGAATGGTAGTGTACTTCGAACGTCCAAGTCATGACCACAGTGCAAACATAACGTTTTCTGACGATTTTAATCGCAGGGGGCAATCAAAATGTGACGAAGCAGGGTAAAATGAGGGAATTAATGCCGGAGACCCCTAAATTGATCGAAGTCACACCGTTCAGGGTCGAAATTGGATCAGCGAAGGAAAAAACCAAGGATGTTAAGTGGAACGACATCGAGTCACTCGAGAAATTCATTTGTTCAATCAAGGAAAGATACTTTTTGCCTAGGGACTTTTTTTCAAACGGCGGTCAATGATGCAACCAGTTTTTGGTCGTTAAACGACAAATAATTCTACGTCTGAGACAACGATTTGGTCCATTAGCCGTACATCGTACAATTACCGGTAAGTCGATATGGCACATTGGCGAACCTACTCTAACAATCAGTTACGCCTCGACATCGAGAACTATAATGATAATTGGACAGGGGTGTGCCCATCGGCCGTATGAAGTAACTTAAGCAGGATCGGTTACCTTATTAAGATATTAAGTATAACGCGTGATCCATGCTGCTTTAATTACTTTTTATAGAAATTCAATTACTCCGTGTATCGTGGATATCGTTGTCTGTAGAGTTACTCTAAATGACTGGGTTTCTAGGGAAAAATTACTAGTGAATTCTAGTGAAAAATATTTGGAAAGTAATCGTTTAGGTAAGTTAGGTAATTAATTATTTAATTATTTTTGTAAGTAAGTAAATATCGATATGTAATATATGTCAATGATATTTCAGTGTTGGTATACATGGAAATATTTATACTAATGTATAACATAAGAAATAAGAAATATTTTAATATTGATACATAATAAAATTTATATTTCGATATTGATATATATAATATAAGTAAATAATATTTTAATACTAATAATAGTACATAAAGTATATATTATAAATAAAAATAATAAACTAATATGTGAAATATAGTGTAATATTTTAATGTTACTGATGAATAATAGTTACATAAAGAGGAAGATTTAAGTATACTAATGAATTTAGTTTATTGAAAAGTGTTTTTAATAATTAATTTGTAAAATTAATTGTAAAGAAATTACATAATATTCCAGGAAATGAATGTTAACTTAATAATAATTAAATAATCGAACAAAACTGCTGTACTTCGTCGTAAGATATAGCTTGGCTGTTCTTTTAATCAAAATACGCCATTTTTTCTACCGTTCTTTCACAATTTACTCCGTCGTCTGTACTTTTCCCCCATTGCTGGTTTACAATTCTTGCAGACTTTAGGGCCACATGCAAATTTGTGCCTTTTCCCTCCATTGTTCGTGTCAGCAGCTGCGCTACTCGTTAGTTGGCACTTATTAATACTTTTTACTTTCGTTACCTCTCGCTTAAAACCACAACTATACTCCGTGACTCGAATAGCCTAAGTTCTACTTATTGTTAGAAACCTAAACTATACGACTTATTCACGAACATTCTCCGTTTTACCATAATGGGTAAAACCTACTACTACTGGTTCTACTATACATCCGCCATAATAAATAGAACCTAAAACCATTGCAAGTGACTTTAAATTTAATTAAACTAATTAATAATCGTCCTCTACTTTGCACATAATTTAAACAATACAGTTACAAAACAAATAAAAAGAAAGCAATGAAGACACCATAATATTCCAATTTTTATGAATAATTTAAAAAAACTTTATTCAAATTTTCTTCCTTCTAAGTAATTAAGAAAATAATAGGATGTATAGACACAAGTTAGATGCACGTGTACAGTACGAGACAAAATGATAAGACACTTATAGTTTCTAGCAGATACATATCTACCATAATAGATAGAACCTAAAATCTAAAACCACTGCACGTGACTTTAAATTTCGTTAAATTAATTAATAATAATCAACCTTGTCAGAAAACAAATAGAAATAAACAAAGATACCATAATGTTCCAATTTTTATGAATAACAATGTAAAGAAACATTTCATGTATAGTGCTGGAGGAAGTAATAAGGTACAGGAAAAAATATTTATTTCACAAAAATAAATATAAAAGAATTATTTTTTCGCGACGACACAATTACCTATATCTGCGAAACGAGTAGTAATTTTGACAATCCGACATCGATGGGAGGGCCCCATCCCAACGAATAACCTACATCTGTGAATAATTAGTTTCCACGATATCGAAAAAATCTTAGACATTTAAGGAAAACGCTTCCGTTCTAGTGGAGCTCGGATGCTGTGCGACGTCGCGTCGTTTTATTATCGATTCTCCTGTCTGGCGCTCGTGCAAACCCTCTCTTCTGCTTCTCCCCCACTTTCGCCGCGACCCCACGCCATTTGCTCGGCCTTTGTGCGAGTACGCGCCCCCTTCCTGGTTTACGCGAAACACGCCGAGGGTACGTTGCTTCCAACGTGATATAAGTTTCTTCCCGGTTGAAAGGCATATCAATAACCCATTTTCATTAACTTGTTCTTGCTTTATGCGCCACCTATGAGACATTGTCTACCGTTCCCCTACCTCTCCCCCATGTGATCTTTTTTTAGTATTTTGTAATTCTCGATATTGGTAAGGAGTTTTATGGTATTTATATTGGATTTGTTTATTAATTTATGTGAAATTAAATAGAGGATTTTGGATTTTTATTTTTATAATTTTAGAGGTTAGGGGTCGGGCTTAGATTGTATTTTGTAATTCTCGATATTGGCAAGTAGTTTTATGGTATTTATATTGAATTTGTTTATTAATTTCTGTGGAATTATATAAAGGATTTTGTATTTATATTTTGGTAATTTTGGAGGTTAGGGGTTGGGCTTAGGTTGTATTTTATAATTTTCGATATTGGTGAATAGTTTTATGGTATTTACATCGCATTTGTTTATTAATTTTTGTGGAATTCCTTTACTTATTTTTAGTGTTTCTTAATTCTTTTTTGGATTTCTTATTTTTTTATTATTATTTATTATTACTATTTACTATCCTTTCATCATTTTGTAATTTTTTTTTTTAATACTAAATTGTATAATTATATTTTTTGCACCATTGTACTTAATTTTATTGGCTATTCTTTGTATTGGAAAAAAACAAATAAAACATTAAATCTTCTTATATTAGAACTATTACCAGTACCAAAATTGTAGCGAAAAATATCCCGTGTAGTATAGAAAATTTTATTTTGCTTCACTACCTCTTTTAAGTTCGCAGCGATACCTAAACGCGATTTACCTCGACCTGGTTAGATACTCGAAAGTAAAACAATTATAGAAACTGTAGTAGTCAAAATAGACTCTCGTAAACTACGATTCTTCAAAGGTCTTCTACCCACCAACGTATTCTAGAGAAAAGAAAACAACTAGGTAAATAGAAAATTTTTCACTGGATTCCAAATAGTGTTCGGTCAGCTATTTTTGTATTCACATTCCAAAAAGCTGCGTGATCTGTTTCGATGTCATCCTACACTCCGCAATATTATTTTTCCACCAACTGAAAAAATTCCAGAAGAACGAACGACAGAAAAAAATTTTCACAAAAAGTCGACAAATAAATCCTTTAAATAAATTAAAACAAAATACCACTCGATTTGCCATTCTGTAAAATATAATTCTTTTAATTCTTTATATTATTAAAAGAGAAAAATAACAATTTTATCCTATTATTTAATAATAAATAATAATTTTATCATATTATTTAAACGAAAATTAAATGAAACAGAAATAAAATTAAATTCAATAAATTCAATAATTCAAAAGAATATATAAAATGGCGGTGTCTAACACTAAACCTATCACAATCAGCTAAATCACTGATGAATAAAAAAATAAAAGAAGGAAAACCTTAAAAAAAAAAATAAAAAAAATGGAATACGAGAAATTATTACAAAATTGATTACACGTATATGAAAAGAAAAATCACAAAATCAAAATGACCAAAATCCTAAATGTGGAATTTTGAATTAAATGTTTAAAAATTAGAAAGTCATTGTGTTAAATATAGTACTCACTGTAGTTGTGAATGTTTAATTTCAACTCGACAAGTGGTACTTAAAAGATGTAAATATATGGAAACTCTGATTTAATTGCTCATTTTCTAGCAGCTTTATGTACTAATTGTAAATCGAATAGCATTCTCGCACGCACTTCCCATTTACAGCGGAAACAGCAATTATCCCCACGTAATGGCTGTCGTAAGTTTTATTGGTTACGCATACGCTTATTCAACTGGTCATGAAACAGTGACAGTAGCTGGAAAAAGGATTATGTAACAACTATGAGTTATTCGAATGTCAAATGAAGATAATAGTGGATTCGTGAACGGGTTATAGTGTAATGGTACAGTACTTATAGGTAATTGCACCCGTACAGTGGATGCCTTGTTATTGATGACAAGAATAAATTTTATTGTATGAAGAAAATAATATTTTCGAACAACTTTAAGAAATTAATTTATTACTGATATAGTAGTATTACTATATAGTCTATGACTTTCGAATTACTGCAAATTTATTTGTTAATATATTTAGTAGAACATAGAAGCAGAGAGTGTGGAGTGCTTGATTTTGTTTTAGACAAAATTAGGGTGGATTTCTATCAAATATTAATGTGAAAGGATATACCAAAATTTTGGTTATTTTGTATACACATTTTTCCAATGTTTTTTGATCAATATTTTTAAGTACTTTATACGTATACTCTTATGATTTTATTATTTTGTGATCTCAATTTTTAACTCTTGAAACACTTTACTATATAGTATGAAATCACTAGTAATTAATAATTCCTATTTTTATTTCCAGTCTTTATTACATTTTAATATAAATATTGTATCATAATTAATTAATCTTTATAAAGAATAATAAAAATATGTAGATTTCTTCATGCAAGGAAAATATGCTTGTCAAGAATTACATAGTCACTAGTAATTAATAATTCCTATTCTTCTTTCCAGCCTTTATTGCATTTTAATATAAATATGGTATCATTATTAATTAATATTTATAAAGAATAAAAATAATATGTAGAATTCTTCTTGCGAAGGAAATATGTTTGTCAAGGATTACAAAATTACTATTAACAAATAATTTCCAATTTTTATTTTAGTTTTAACTATATTTTAATATAGTATAGTGGTACCATTGTAATTCAAAGGACGATAAGGGTGATGGTTTGTATTATATGCTCGAAATGAGTTATGTCGTGCGAAGGAAATATGTTTGCCAAGAATTACAAAATTACTATTAACAAATAATTTCTACTTTTTATTTTAACTTCAACTATATTTTAATATAGTATAGTGGTATCATTGGACCTATCTCAGAGGACGATAAGGGTGATGGTTTGTATTATATGCTCGAAATGATTTATCTCGTGCGAA